GGTGCTCGGGGAGCTGTATTGGGTGATTTGAACGAGGAACAAATTGCGCACCTTTGGCAAAAATGACTGACGGATGAGCGTAACTGTGGCCACCAGAAACGTGAGCGTGCGGATAGTTCTGTACGGTGTTGGCCACAGTGTCCCAACTCCGAGTGCAGGTCCATTAGGACACCTTCGATGAGGCAACCTGGGACGATCGGGCGTAAGTGATGAGAATTACCGTCTTTATAAAAAAAGTATTTCTGGTTCGAGGTAGAGGTTCGGCCATTGGTTCAGCAAAAGGCGGGCGTTCATAGTAGACCCGCACATTTCTTGTTCATTAGGTTTCCGCCGTCCTCCAATCATGTGACGGTAGATGATGGCCGTGTCGGGATCAGTATTTTGTGCAGTTGATCATTCGTAGCGGGTGGTTTCGTCTAAGTGTACGGCGTGGACAGATTCCGGGAGTATGGCTTCATCTGTAACGGCGGTGTTGGGGAAGCGGGACAGTGCATCAGCGTTGCCGCGTTTAGTGCCCGGGTGGAATTCGGGTATGAAATCAAAATCTTGTATCGATTCTTGCCACCAAGCAAGCTGGTATATGGGGTCTTTGAAGGTTTGGAGCCATTTTAAAGCGCGGTGGTCGGTGCGCAAAATGAAAAGTTTGCCGATAAGAAGGTGTTTAAATTGCTGAAGGAAAACGATAATCGCTAGGAGTTCTCTTCGGAATGTGCTGTAATTTCGCTCGGACTTCGTTAGGGCTTTGCTGGCAAAAGAGATAGGATGCTCAACGCCGTGGCTGTCGTCTTGTGACAACACGGCACCAATGGCAAAAAACCACTGGCATCGGTGTCAAGTATAAACGCCCGAGCGTTCTTCTCGACGTTTGGAAGTGCTAAAAGGGGGCGCAAAGCATTGGGGCCGCACAAAGGTCGGTAAATGCAGTATACATTATATGAATATGACATTACTTCGTGCTGGAAGTAGGGTAAAAGTTACGGTTAGGGGTTAGTATAACTGTAAGGGGATATAGAGCTCTTGGAATATTAGGCAGGACATTTAGGATATAAGGAGGGAGGGAGGGAGGTTAGGCGGGAGGAGATACATACGCACATTACATTTCATATCTCGTGGCATATGTTTTATTCGAACAAACTACTTGAGTACGGTATTGATTGTAATTATTTCTGACATTTCACGCGATAATGCATCCCTGTACGAGTGAATTTAAGCGTTTTATTTGAACTTGTGGTGACATTCCGCCATCATGGTTAGCACTCTGTTCATTGGCCCTCTTTGGGTGATCTCAAGCATCTGCGTCCGCATATGACTGACCAAGCCGATACGTGCACGGAGGGTTCGTTGACAGCGCAGGAAAGTCAGAAGCGCTTGAGCGTTGAAAGCGTTCATCTTTTGGGTTTGGGACTTGCGAGCCATCCTCTTCACCTTAACGGTGGCTATCCGATTGGCTTTGTTGATAGTTGCGCCAGTTTTTTTACCGTTCTTTGCCAGACAGATCGGTCCTGCGCGACTTCCTCCCAGTCCACCTTGTTGATTAGAAGACACTTCAGGGAGTTCTTCAGAGTGTCCTTGCAAAGCCTCTTTTGTGGCAAGCACCCATACCGACATCACCGTAAAACAGTCACTTGGATACTCGTTTGTCATCCATCCACGTTGGCCGTTCCAGCGGGGTTGTATCTGGCTCAGAATGGTATGGATTCTGAGAATTTCCGTTCTCTCCAGAAGTTCCATATCCGGGATCCTGTCTTGCCATCATAACTGCAGTATTAAGCGGAAGCAGCTGAGATAGAAATGGTTTAGCTTCCGAGTTTGGTTGACATAGACGGTCCAAGCCTCCTTTCCGTATAGGAGTGTCATGAGGACGATGGCCTTGTACATCCTAAGTTTCTCGGACATCTGAAGACCAAGACGGCTCCATATGGAGGCTTAAAGCCGGCCAAAGGCTGGCTTTGGAGACCCGGCGAGCGACCTCGTCTTCGATTCCGGTGTTGCGAGATAGCGGGCTGCAAAGAGAGGTGAAGTTGTCTACGTGTTTGGACTGGGCGCCTTTGATTTTGATACTTGGAGCATTTTAACCAGCAGATGGTTTAGAAGAACACGAGAGAAGATTTTGTCGGCCATACTTCGAAGCGGAATTCCATGATGATTGTCACAGACTTGGTGGTTTCCCTTTCGCTTATAGAGGTGGAAAATTGTGGCATCCTTGAAGTGTTAGAGGTCTGACATTGTCACCACCTCCCCTGGAAGAGCGTGGCTATGTGCGGTGTGAGTTGGTGGCTATCGTACTTATAAACCTCTGCAGGGATCACATCGGGTCCGGGTGCTTTCCCACTGGAAATTCACTGCACAGTCTTGATCGTCTTCTAAGGAGTGGGTGGGAGGTCGAGGTCGGCGTGGATTTTCACCTGAGGTATGTGGTCGATGGCGGCAGCGGAGATGGTGGAGAGGCTTTTGAGTAGGCGTTGGAAGTGCACAGCCCAGCGTTTCAGAATCTAAGTCTTCTCAGTGAGTAGGATAGATCCGTCAGCGCTGAGAAAAGGAGCTGTGCCGTTGATTGTAGGGTCGTAGACAGCCTTGATCGCATCGAAGAAGTGATTCCATTTATAATGGTCCGCATAATCTTGGATTTCTTAGCCTTTACTAACCATCCAAATATCCTGAATTTCCCGCAGCTGCTGCTATACAAGACGGTACATTTGACAGTATACTCCACTGCGACTGGAAGATTGTCTAGCCGTTGAGCCAGCTCGTTGCTGAAATGCAGATGGTTAGAAGGCAAATTTAACAAAACAGTATTCATCTTACCTGGGGGTCACTTACCTTGAGGTGTCCTCCGTGATTAAAAGCGGATCCGTACCCTGGAGATGAAGTGACGATAATCGGTCCATTCGTCGGCAGCCGGCATCGCCTTCGTCACCAGCACGTCCTGCTGATCACATCGCCGGACGAGGACAAAGTCCGGAAGATGCCATTTCAGGACCGCGGATGTATCTAAGTGTCCATACGCTGCAGCGGAATAGCAATGATAGTGACAAGGATGTAAAAAAAGATACTCCAAGAACGATAGGTAAAAACAGTAGTACAACAACTAAATACAAAGACGATAAAGAAAAGGGTAGAACAACAAAATATCAGGCAGATACAGTAGGAGAATAGAACAGTTAATAAAATGCTACAGGAATAGTGCACTGCTTGTGATAGCAATAGGAGTAATACTATTGAAAATAAGCCCAGTGAGAGGAACCACTAGCACGAAAATTAGTACTATTAAAGGTGATTAGCGGGGTTAAAGAAATAAAACTGCGAAAACTATTTTACTCCTGGCACCGCCACTGTGGCCCTTAGTAGTACTGATATGGTTACGGGAATAGGAACTCTGCTTCTTATGTTGTTATGGTGTCTACGGAATACAATAACTGCCTACGTACTTGTCTAATACAAGCGAACGTGCGAGTCCCAGGAGGTAATTCAAAAGAAGAAGAGGCGGTCGTTGTGACCAGACCTTTATTCATCTGAAGCTTTGAAGTCCCTGTGGCTTCTCCATCCGAGACATTAGCATAAACGAGAGGGGAAAATCGTGTGAGCCGCGACTTGCTTGAGTCATAGTTCACGGCCCCCAGTCTGCAAAAAAGTGCAGCGACCAGCCAGATCCATATTCGGTGCTAATGGCTCAATGTGGCCGAAACAAGTCACCATTTGGTGGGGAACGCACAGGCCAACACGTCATTCAACGCCATTGCCGGAGACCAAGATGGCAGAGCACTCATCACGTCCAATTCCACCAGATGTGATGAAAATACAGCAGGCCACGGCCCGCACGCCGGTCCTCAAGCAATTAGCGCACAAGCCGTCAATTATCTTCGACAGGGGACGTTTTTAATTGTTATAAGTGTGCAGTATTACAGTGGCTGTATCCTATAAATTCTGCAATTCCCTGTGCGTGAATTACCCGTTTCTGCTACTGTCTATACTAATGGTTCTGATGAAGCATCCGCGAAGGACTTCGAAACGCCAGGCGAATATAAATCTTGTCCCAGCAATCGTATTTCCTCTATGTTCCTTCCGCCCACTAATTCTACTATGATTATTACTACTGCTACCTGGAGCGTACAGGGTGTGGTAGGACACACTGTAGACCCTCATTTACTTTTGCAGAGGCGGTTACAGGGGTGGCCGCTAGGCAGAACCTAAATCCGGGAAACCACAAGTGAGAGGTAGGTGCCAGCTAAGGATGCTATACGTCAGAAGAAAGAGGAGCGTTCACCGGGAGAGGTTTATTACAAGCCTGACGTT